TATTTACAATTTTTTCTAATGTTTTTGTTATTAAAAAGTTTTAATTATTTAATTAGAAATAGTTAAAATTTATAAATATTTAATAAATATATTTTTATGTAGATTGAAATTAAAAAATAACATTTTAGATAATTAATAAAAAATTTAAAAGTTTATAGATATTTAATATAATTTTGTTTAATTAAAAAAATAATATTAGAGTTGTTGTGAATATTTTATTTTATATATGTGAAATATATATTAAAAATATAACATTTTATATAATATAAAATAATGTGAAAAATAAAAATATGTTTGTGTGTTACAAATAATTTATTTATATTATTTATATAAATAAGTATAATTGTAAATAAACATTGATAAGTTTTTTTAAAAATAAGTATAATTGTAAATAATTATTGATATGTTTTTTTTATAAATGCAGGATGAATGATATTATTATTATTGTGTATTGGAATGGAAAAATTGTTGTTGGAAATGAAGGTGTGACATTTGAAGGTAACAAAAAAATGATAAAGATAAGAAGAGGGATAAGTTATATGAATTTAAAGAAAAAGATTCATGACAAGTTGAATCTTAGTAATAATCATGTCATATCTAGAATAATTTCTCGTTTTATGGTTGATTCAAGCGCTAAACAATACAATGCATTGGATATATGTGATGATGAAGACATTGATTGTATGATTAGTGCGTATCAACAACAAAGTATTACAACTTGTATTGAATTATATGTGGATATTGCATTTGGTGAGAGTTCAAGAGGTGAGTCGAATATGTTGGACTTAAGCTTATCAATGTCACTGCCTAACCCTATGGAAATTGTCAATATAAATGCTACAGAAGGTATAAATTATATTGTTGTAATTTAATTTTAATTTTTTTTTTAGTTACAATACATATTGAAAAAGTGTTTGTATTTTGAAGGATATAGAGATTTATGCAGTTATGAAGATGAAGATGATGAAGTCAATAATGATGATGAAGTCCATAGTGATGATGAGACAGATGATATTGATGAAGGACATATTCCATTAGACAGCTCGTCAGATACAGACATTGATGGTGATTTTGATTCAAACTTAAATTTACAACAAGAAAGTGTTGGAGGTAACATTTAAAAAATATATTGATTAAATTGTTTATTTGTTATAAATAATGAATATTGTATGTTTAAATGTAGTTGTAGATGAAATACCTTTTTGGAATGTAAGTCCACATTACAAATCTATTAATTGGGACCACCCAGACCAAGAAATTGAAGCTGAAGAAATTAGTGAAGATAATTCATGGGTTATTGGAGATGCGTTACATGTGGGTTTGTTATTTGACTCAAAAGATGAAGTTAAAAATGCCTTAAAACAACATGTAATGAGAATACATCAGAATTATTTTGTTGTTGAGTCAAAACCAACAAAATTACATGTGAGGTGTTTAAACCATAACAACGGGTGCCCATGGAGAATAAGAGCATCATTGCTTAAAAATTCAATCAGGTGGAAAATAACAAGGTGTGGCGGTAAGCATACATGTCTCAACCCTACAATCTCTCAAGACCATACTAAATTAGATTCAGATTTGATTTCATCATGCATAATTGGTAAGTTTTGAATAATATCTTATTTCATCACATCTTTTTTCTATAAAGATACTTAGTTCAATTTTTATTGTTGTTTTGTGCAGGTATAGTTAATCTTGAACCATCATTGCCTATAAGTCTAATTCAAGAAAGGATGACAACTCAATTTGGATATAAAATTTCATACAAAAAAGCTTGGAAGGCAAAACAAAATGCAATTGTAAGAATATTTCGTGATTGGGATGAATCATATGCGACATTACCAAGATGGTTAGAGTATATGCAATTTCATGCTCCAGGTTCTATTTATAAGATTAAAACGAAGCCATTTGTTGTTGGACATCAGGAGGACAACAGATTTAGAGTATTTGAGCGATTGTTTTGGTGTTTTCATCAATGCAAAGAAGCATTCAACTTTTGCAAACCTATTATTCAAATAGATGGAACATTTTTGTATGGTAAGTATCGTCATACATTGTTGATTGCAACAACACAAGATGAGAATAATTGTGTCCTACCACTAACATTTGCTATTGTTGAAGGGGAGACTCTGTCAGCATGGGAATGGTTTTTGGCAATGATTCGTGTCCACGTAACAAACAAGACAGGAATATGTTTAATATCTGATAGACATCAAAGTATCAAAAGTGCTGTTTCAAACCCACATCTTGGATGGCAACCTCCTAATGCATACCATGTTTATTGCATTCGTCATATTGCGAGCAATTTCAACCATAAATTCAAGAACGTTGATCTGAAAAAACAAGTGATAAAATTAGGTAACATGATTTAATTCGTATCTGACTTCCTCTTACTTTATATTTATTTGAATTGTGAAGTCATGTAGTATTTGTACATTGCAGCATATATACCTTCGAAGCTTGTATTTGAAGAGAAGTTGAGAAGATTCTGCACTGAATCACCAGAAATACAGAGGTGGATCGACAACATATCGAAGGAAAAGTGGGCTTTGAGTCATGACGTCGATGGACGCCGTTATGGACATATGACCACAAATTTGTCAGAGGCTGTTAACAAGGTATTGAAGGGAGCAAGAAACTTACCTATAACTGCTCTGGTTAAATGCACTTATGGACGAATGGTTGAATATTTTGTGAAGCGTGGAGAGGACGCAATGAATGACTTGAACCATGGTAAGAGGTTTTGTTCAAAACTAATGCTAAAAATGCAGAAAAATCAAGAGGAAGCATCTTGGCATCAAGTGAGACGATATGATATAGCAAGAACAACATTTGAGGTTGAAGAGGCCTTTAATCCTATCACGCAAAGGGGTGGTAACAAATGGAATGTTGTTTTGTGTAGAAGATACTGTGAATGTGGGAGGTTTCAAGCATATCAATTTCCATGCTCACATGTGATTGCTGCTTGTGCATCGGTAAGTATTGACTTTTGGCAATATGTTGATGATGTTTACTCTATGCAAAATGTCATCCATGCATATTCATCACAATGGTTCCCTTTGGGAAATGATGGTAATATTCTTACACGCAATGAGTGGAAGTTAGTGCCTGATGAGACAAGAATCAGAGGTAAAGGAAGACCAAAATCATCTCGAATTAGGAATGAAATGGATTAGGTTGAGTCACAAAGTAGAACCCGATGTAGTAATTGTCATCAAATTGGTCACAATGTACGTCAATGTACTTCTATATCACCTAATCAGTAGTATTGATGAGTTTATGTATGAGACAACACGTCATTTGTTAACTATCAGCATGTGAGTTTGTAGTTTATATTCAAATGCACTGATGTACTTGTAGTAATTATTTTCAAATCCAGTTATGTACTTGTAGTTCATATCACCTTATTTCTCTTAATATGAAACATGAATCACATTACTGAAAGTTAATCGTACGATTTATAACATGAGTAAATTTTAATCGATCGATGATTCAAATGAATAAAAACTACCATATGTCATAAAACATCTAGTAAAGGTACACAAAATATGTATAATTAGTTTATACAAAAACTCAAACTCTATCCTCGTGTGGCTGGTCAGGCTGATGTGGGGTCAATATGCACTCCCTAGGTCGATCTCTAGCTGTACGATGTGGGTTACGACGAACCTCTGCAGGTGGAACATCTACCGTTGCTTCGAAATCAGCATTCAAATCTATCCCCTGATTATATGAGGTATCATATGATGTCCCAGTAACAATATCTGTTGCTGGTGCTGGTGGTGTCAAAATAGGAACATCATATGGAGGTGGCGTGAAGAATGGTGATGGACATGGGATATAACACTCTGTGGTCAGGAAAGGTGATTGAGGAGTCGGTGGCGGATGCTGGGTGGCTTGAGATGAGTGAAAATATGTAGGTGCATTATAGGGCTGTGTCTGGAAAGGAAACTGTGAGGGAACATAGAATACTCCATCAGGACGCTCAGGTATCGGTGGAAGAGACCATTCTGTCGCATGTACCTCTGTGCGTCTACGCTGTAATCCCCTGCCTTCCTTACGGTTCCTCGATTGACCGACATCTACAACTGGATCCTGAGTATTGCCACTCTGCATTGGAGGATCAGATGAAGAAATAGGTTCCATAATGCGGTTCAAATCATTCTTCAAACCTAGCATAGATTGACACAAGTCTCGCATCTCATCAAAGGTGAATGAATCATGGCCATCTGTCATCAAGTAGTGGGCTCTCTCAAGTCCATCACCCTATACCACCATATATGTATGTTAACAATGTCATTACAAATATTCATAAGTAAATGAAAAATATGTAGTTTACACTTACAAGTAATGATGAGACAGCTGCGTCTCTTGTCATCCAACGTCTAGTGTGAGCTCTATACCACCGCATATAGTCAGAGTTGAAACTTTGCTGCCCAATATGGGGGTCATTGGTTATGACCCACTCTCTCCTTCTCTCCCAAATGTCTAAAACATCCCTCAGCTTCTCTTGCCAATTCTCTGTTGCCTTCCCACGCAGAGTCAAGTCATGTAGTGCATCTGGCTGATAAGGAGCACGAGGTATATGTTGAACCATACCAAATTGTCGCATTACTCGATCTGGTTGGTGCCACTCACACACCTGAAAACATATCAGAGGCACAACAGCCCTCCACAAATCCATCCCCTCACGACATATAGCTGGTAACGAATTAATCAAATCAATAGAATATGGTTGCCAAATTATCTGCACACAATATACAGCATATTCAGGTTTGTTTTCATAATGATAACTAAGTTACAACATGACTATAACATATGTCTAAAATGTTAATCCAAGTTTACCTCTTCACCACTAAGCATGTCAAATTTTTATCTATAATAAGATATGTCTTTCCTCCCTTTCTTATTCCTTTGATTGGCTAACCACCTGCACAAAGATACAGATATTGTTAACACATAAGGTATGTTAAACATATTAAGAAAATAAATATTTAATATTACCTAGTAGCATATGGAAGATGGAGTCGTGTGTGAAGCGGGTTTCCAAGACCTAGAAATGGAAACCTATCCCATGCCCACATCACAAGTAATGCAGCTAATTCACCTAAACCATGCCGATCAATGTTGGTGGCCATACACAACTCTCTATACAAATATCCTAATACTGCAGACCCCCAACTATATTCACTAGTGACAGCAAAATCCTCAAGTAAAGGTAAGTACCTCACTGAGACTCTACTGCTGGAGTGATCACTCAACATAAAACCCCCAATCAACCGCAACATATAAGCCCTAGCAAATCTAGTGATCTGTAAAGGATTCTGTGCATGCATCGCCACATGGGTAAAATGTTGGTCTAGCCAACTCGTCTTTAAGAAGCTACCAACAAAATCTGCACGTGATGGTCTAATCCCTAGGCTCTCCTCAACAATATCAGCATAATTAACTCCAATAGGTGCTATCACAGGTCTTCCATCAATTCGTAAACCTAACAACACAGATACATCCTGCAAAGTGATCGTACACTCGCCTGGAGGCAAGTGAAAAGTGTGTATCTCTGGCCTCCATCTCTCTACTAATGCAGTGATCAACGAGAGGTCTAATGGGAACTGACATACGTGAGCAATCTCAGTAAATCCTGCAAGCTCTAAATGTGGAAGAATCTCCTCTGGAACACCATCCAAACCAGCTGGAATAAATTGACTCTTCCTAACCTTCAAAATAGGATGATCCCGACCATCCCAAATATGTTCAGACACATGAATATTCTGTAACCGCAATAATGAAGGATCATCTGGTCCTGAATGAATGACCCTATTCTGTCCTGAAGATGAAGCCATCTACACAAAATATAAAATATAACATGGTCAAAAGTTTAAACTTTAATATAAATTATACAAAATAATTGCATATCATGCATCAAGTATAATACCCCAATCTGTTCTTTCTTCATCACATAATTTAAATACAAAAACTATTTATAACATTTTAATCATTGTAATACAAATAAAATCAAATAAATTTATTCATAACCTTTAAGTTGTCTTTTTAATCATTGTAATACAAATAAAATCAAAAACAATTATTCATAACATTTTATTCATTTTAATCATTGTAAATCAAATACAATAAAACTGTTCATTACTACATTTGAATATTTTATGATTTTTTTTCTTAGATTTAACATGTCTTTTTAAACTTAGTACATCAAAAGAAATTAATATATTAATTAAAAACTATAAACATTTAAAATTTTGTAGTACTTTCCATTATAAATCTTATATCATACAATAACAACATTAATTAACAAGTTGTTTGTTTTAAATAATTTTTTGGTCATCATTTATTAAATTATATAATTATCAATAATTAACTTAAACTAATTACAATCATTCTAAAAATTTATATTTTACATTCAAATTTTTTTCTTTCTAAATTAAATTATATAATTATAAATAATCTATCTCAACTAATTTATATATCTCTGTTTCTTTATATTGAATAACTAATTTTCTTATCAGTGTTGTTAATTTTAATACTTTCAATTTTTAATATAAATTTTTTTAGTTATCTAAATTTGTTCTTTAATTATAAATAAATATGTCTATTTATATATTTTAATCATAATTAATTTAAATAAAGAATTTATGTTATAAGTTTTATACACTATTTTCTAATTATCATTTCTTATATAATTAATCAACCAATTTGATATAATTATTTTCTAATTTTCTATTCTAAATTTTATTTAACTATTTAATATTTTTTTAATTTTTAAAATTATTTTTAACTTGTCTTTTAATTTACACCTCAATTTAGTAGAATAATTCTAAATGCAGCTTAATTTTTAATATAAACATCACTATAAAAATTTAATTTTACAAATTTAGTTTATTTTTAAATTTCTATAAAATTACCAAAATTATTTTTATTATATTTTTAATCTAAATATTACTATCAGATTTTTTTAACAAGGTAAAAATGTAATAAATTTAGTTTTCATATTTCTATTTTTAATATCAATTTAAAAATTATAATTTATCTCATTAATCAATTTTTCTTTTCCTAAAATTTTTAATCAAAATTTTACGTTTTTCTATTTAAAAAAAAATACAAAATATACAAAATCTTTTCCATACCTCAGTTGCAGATTTCAGGCGGCGGAGATGGCGGTTTCTGGCGAGTTTTGCAAACGCAGGAATATCAGCAAGTTTCCTGCACTGGGGTCTCTCTCCGACGACCTCCTCTTCCTCTTTAAGAATGGCTGTATAGCAGATTTAAGTTCTCCCAACCTCCTCTAAGTTTTAATTCAAAAATATCTTCACTCACTACAAATGAAGGGAATGTAAGCACGATTCTGCAACGAATGAAGATTCTCACTCAAAAATCAAGCTAAAACGACCAGAAATTTGCTACCCACAGCCGTGAACGGAAAAAATGGAGTTTCGCAAACGCAGAGGGGGAGAAGGGAAGGGGGAGAAGGGAAGGTCTCTGCGGACACGTGACGCAATCAATATGTTTCGTCGCTGACAAAGAAGAAATCCACTATTCGTCCTTATCAGAGACGAAATATGTTGATTGGCCCACGTGTCTGGAGGCGGGAATCTTTAATTCAAAATTTTTCCCATTTTCGTCTTATTCTTATACGAATTCATGCTACACGTGTTCAGATTTGCAACATTTCGTCCCTTTTGTAGGCGATTTTAATAAATAAATAGTCAAAATTTAATTTCGCCCACTTTATATACCAATTCAGAGCTGACGTGGCTAAAAAAGACCCCAGACAGGGAATAAGTTTTATTTTTGTTTTAAATTGATAATTATTTTTTAAAAATGTTTTATTTTGATCATTAAGCCGGCAAAATGTATATATATTCTATTATTGAATATCTTTTTGTGCTTACCTGCAACTGATGCAACTCAGAAAAGCTGAAAGCTCCACCTTGTAGATTTAGGGTTGTCAACTTGTCACAATAGCTTCAGCCTTCAGGTGTGATTTCTTTTTATGAAATTTTAGAGTAACTAGGAGCACATTTGTGGAATATTGGAAGTTATAAAAAATTTGTTTTCATTTGATTTTATGACAGCTACGAAAACATGACTTGATGATCTGACGTTACCTTGAATCATGAATGGAAACATTTTGGAGTAATTTAAAATTAATAGTTATTTTTAAAAAAAAATATTTGACAGATACTTTGGAATTTTTTTTTATAATAAAATAAAATAAAAAATACATAAATATCTTATAATAAAAAATTATAAAAATATTTTGTTTAACATTTAAAAGAAGACGATTTAAATTAATTTTTTTTAAAATTGAAAATCAATTTTAGTTTGTTGTGCACTGGATTAAATTTGTATTTGTAAAAATAAATTTTAATTAATTATTGTTGCTTTTTTTATGTGTGAAAATCAATTTAAATTAATTTTAATATAGAGAGAAAGTCAACTTAAATTAGAATAAGTCAACTTGAATTGACTTCAGTGTAAAGAAAAAGTCAACTTGAATCGATTTTAGTGTAGAGGAGAAGTCAACTTAAATTGACTTTGGTGGATCAATTTGCATCCGCCATGATTATCTTGAAAGGAAGAAACATATTTGAGAAGAATCAATAGAAAGAAAGGAAGAGAAAAAAAAATATAGTACAACTACAATGGAAATGAATAATAATTCAAATTGACTTAATTTTGTTGATCATATTATAAGTAAACTGTTGTGTAAATGTTTAAAAAAATTATTTTTTTATCTAAATTTTTTTAATTTAATTTGTCATTAAATATTTAGTTGTTTAATTAAAAATAATTGTTACATATACTGCATAAATGTTTGTTACATATTTAATCAAGTATGTGTTATAGAACTATTAGTATATTTTATATTACAATTTTTACTATTTATTACAATAAATTAAACAATTATAGTTTTAGGCAAGTAAAATTTAAACTATAACTTAGTAAATTACAATAAATTTAAATTTAGCGAGTGTTAATTATATTTCAAAAGTTTTAATTGTTGATTCGTATTATAATAATTTGTTTATTTATTTTAATGGACTTTATACATTTAGATAATGTTAATTAAATCTACTTACGTCAAATACTGATGTTATGACCTGACTACATTCAACCACCAAATTACATTGCCTATATGTTGATTGAAGTTGAACCTTTCCCTTCACTAGAGTTGATTCAAGTCGACTTCTTTTACACTGAAGTCAATTCAAGTCGACTTTTTCTTTGCACCAAAGTTGATTCAAGTCGACTTACTCTTTATACTAAAATTGTTTCAAGTCGACTTTCTTTTTACACTGAAGTCAAATCAAATCGACTTTCCCTCTACATTGAAGTCGATTCAAGTCAACTTCCTTTATACACTGAAGTCGATTCAAGGCAACTTCTTTTCTACACTAAAGTCGATTTAAGTCGACTTTCAAACAACAAAAAAAATAACCATGGTCAATTAGAATTGACTTCTTAGAAATTAATATAGCGCAATGCACAACAAACTACAATCAATTCAAATCGTTTTCTATTTTCAAAAGAAATCAATTTAAATTATCTTCTTTTAAATGAGAAGCATAAAATTTGTGTAATTCTTTTTAGTACAGTACATTTATGTAATTTTAATTTCATTTTATTTTATCATGGTAAAAAAGCTTACTTCTAGCTTTTTTATTTAAATTTAAAAAAAAAACTAATTATCAAAATAGTGTAAATTTAATACTATTTTTTTGTCTGGTGTTATTTTTTGCCAAATTAATATTATAATCATCATTGTATGTCTGATACATTAATTTTAATAATATTTAATAATTTATTGTCCCATTGTAACCGATATAAGTGCAGAACTTGACACGTGTGAGTCTCAGCATTATTGGACAGCCAGTGTCGATAGTGTAATCATTGGTCAAATGACATTAGCAATGTTGAAGGTGCAGTGACGATAATATTGCAGAGATTGACATCTGTCGACTCTCGCAATGGTATCAGGTAGTCAATGTCGATAATGTAGTTGTTGGTCAAATGATGTTAGCACTATTGGAGGTAGAGTGGCGATATTATTTGTTCTCTAACATGTGTATTATTTGATGGTGCAACACTAAATGCAGCTTTTATCTATCATTTCACCTTGCTATATATATATATATATATATATATATATATATATATATATATATATACACTTTTCCATAAGTAGTTTTATTGCATTGCACCATAGAGAGAGCAACGGAAATTTTTTTTGAAGGTTAGTTAAATTTAAAATGTTGCTTTGTTTTTTTAAGTACGAGGTTTAATTTATGTAAGTTTAAAAATTTGTAGAATCTTATATGGGCATTATTTAAGTGTAAAAGATTTAAATTTTTTTAATTGTTAATTTAAATTAAATATTTTACAATATTGTAGAAATTTTATTAAGAAAGAAAATAATATAAATATATAGCGTAAGAAAAAAAGTAGAGAATATGTAGTAATATAAAAAAATGTAGAATATTTTATACGGTGTGGGTAAATTACAAATGAAAAAAAATTGTAGATGTTAAATAAAATAGTTGAAATGTTTCTAGTAAAATGTAGAGAAGATAATAAAAATTTGGCATATTACTCATTGCATGAGGAGTAGTTTATTTTAAAATTTTTAGTGCCACTTGATAGTTGTTAAGATAGCTTAATAAGTTATGAAAGTGTAATAAAAAATTATTTTGAAAAAAATTAAAAATAGGGAAAGCACATAAGGGTAGTAATTATTTATAATATGTATAAGTATTTGATTGTATATGTGAATAATTAATAAATAGGTAAATTTTTATAAATAAATAGTTAAAAAGTAATTATGGAAGAAGTTGATTATGTAAATAAATTTGTTCCGTAAATTATATGGACGTTTGATGTAAAATGTTGATGACTTAGGATAAATTTATGACATGTGGATTTAATCTGTTGATGCAGGATGAATGATTTTATGATTATCGTATATTGGAATGGTTAAATATTTTCAAGTAATGAGAGTGTTACATTTGAATGAAATAATAAAATGATTAAGATCGAGCGTGGTATAAGTTTTGAGACATTGGAAAGGAAAGATACACAAAAAATTGAAATTATCTACTAATGAAGTTATATCTAGATTGATTTCACGATTTTTAGTAGACTCAATTGGTAGACAATACATAATTATGGATATATGTGATGATGAAGATATTAATTGCAAGTTGAATGCTTTTTTACAACAAAACAAGAGAAGTACAATTGAACTATATGTAGATATTGCATCTTGGGAGACTTATTGTATTCAGTCATGAGGTAGGACTTACACTTATCAATTTCACGTGATAATATTTGTGAGGATGATGAAATTGGATTTGGATCAAGTATAGTAATGTATTTGGTTTGATGATACTTTATATATAATTTCATTGTAATTATGTTTTTAATCTAACAATAAATTTTATGGTGACGTAGAAAATGAATACGATGACGAGGATATTGATGACAATGAAAATGAATGGGAAGTTCTAACAGATTAGTTCATCTGATACTGTTATAAAAGGTGATTTAAATTCTACGTTGAATATAACTAACAATGCAGAACAAAGAGGTATTATATATTTTACAAATAATTTTTAACTTTTCCGAATATAGTAAAATAACTCAACTATAAATTTAATATGCAGGCATGATTGAAAATCCTTTATGAAATTCAAGTCCACATTATACTTATATTAATTGGGAACATACTGATAAAGAAATGGAGAATTCAGATGTTGAAGTTAATGAAACATGGAGGGAAGGTAATGCATTATATATTGGGCAAGTGTTTGATTTTAAAGATGTTAAAAATGCTATTAAATATTTTGTAATGAAAACACATCAAAGTCATATAAATGGATGCCCTTGGAGAGTTATAGCAATATTAGGCAAAAAATTCAACACGTGAAAAATCATAAGATATGGTGGAAAGCATACATGCGTCAATCCAATGATGTCTCTAGGTCACAAGAAATTAGATTCAAACTTCATTTCCACTTTTGTACTTGGTAAGTTTCACTAAACTAATTACTCTTTGTTGGTTGAAGAAAACACATTTTATTTAAGTCATATAATAGATTATGTTATTGTTAATTGTAGCTATGATAAAAGAACAACCATTAGTGCCAATTACATTAATTCAAAAAAGAATAAATGGTCAATTTGGTTATCAAGTTTTTTACAAGAAAGCATGAAAGGCGAAACTGAAAGCCATTGTCAAGATATTTGATGATTGTGATGAATTATATGCTACATTACCAAGATGGTTTGAGAACATGCAATTACATGTTTCTGGATCAATTTATAAAATTGAAACCAATGATTATGTAAGGGTCACCATGTTGATAACAGATATATAATCTTTCATTGGTTATTTTGGTCATTCAGCAATACATAAGTGCTTTTAATTTTTGCAAATCTTAAATACAGATAGATAGTACATTCTTGTACGGTAAGTACTAACAAACTTTACTGGGTTCTACCGCTCAAGATGGAAATAATTATGTGTTTCCAATTGCATTTGCAATTTCATTCTTAGCATGAGAATGGTTCTTGGGTCTTATTCGCCTTCATGTCATAGATAAGCCTGATATTTGTTTGATTTTTGATAAACATCAAAGTATAAAAGGTGCAGTTTCAAATCCACATATTAGGTGGTAGCCTCCAAACGCATATCATATTTACTGCATTCGTCACATCGCAAACAAATTTAATCAGCGATTCAAAAATCCAATTTTGAAGAAAGAACTGATCAAATTAGGTACAGTTGTTGTTAATTTTATTTATGTACTTGTCATTGTTATTGTATAAGTTTATATTTGTATATGCGAAAAGTTGTATGATATTTCTTTGATTCATTAAGCAATGACAAGTATTGCACTGTGACTTTACTACTAGAGTGATATGCTAGCATAAATACTCCAATAAGCCTCATTGCAACGCCCTGAATTTTTGTAATAATATTTTAATATATTAATATAAGTGTATATGTGAATTTTCATGTGTTTGTGTGTTTGATATATATATATATATATGTGTGTGTGTGTGTGTGGACTTGTATGAATGTGTGAATACGAGTATAAACATATGTGTTAGTTTGTGGTTGAACTGAG